TCGAAAAATTGTGATTTTCCGTCAAATTTTGTAGATTCCGGCGACATCAACCACCGAAACCTAAAACAAATTAGAGACCCACTCTCCTCTTACCTTGGCACACCTTCACCTGAGTTTTGGGGAGATTTGGGCTCAGTTATTTTTCTCTGACAAGCTTTCGGTGAGATTCGGACGAGGCTCCAGTGACCCCCATCCGGCCAGTTTTCGTGCATTTTTTGGCCCCCTCACCCTCTCATCACTTCCACTTCGACCCTACTTGAGTCTCCAGGTTTGCTTTCAACTTTTTTCCTTATCATTTGTTGGAGAATCGGATTACGGTGTGAAGTGAGGTAAATTTTTGTGAATTGATGCTTAAATGTAGAAATTAGGCAGAGGGATTAGCCAATTAATGTGTATGAATGATGTTTGATGATGCATGAGCTTAATTGAGCCTTGGTGGGCATAAATTTGGGTACAATTTGTGGTTAAATATGAAAATTGCCCACCAAGTGCAAAAATGTGAATGAATGTGAATCAGTTCTTTTGATTGATAGTTGGAAGCCATCGGGGCATGGTTTAGGTTTGATTTTCTCTGTTGATAATCCGTGAACTACCTATAACCATGCCTCAATGACCTTTGTGTGCATTTATGCTTAGTTGTCCAAAAGCCGGTTTAGTGAAAAGCCTTCAAGGCATAGGACCGTAGTGGAAGCTTAAGTGTGGGGAATTCTTTTCTCCACTTGATGTGAAATTGACAATTATTTTCACGTATGGTGTGTGCTTTGAATTGACAATCTTTATGGTTATATTCAACCTAGGGAGGTAGTTGTAGCAGTACTATGGAGGATGTTGAAGTATAAGATTTTTCCTATCTGTCTCCTTGCTGTGCCGGTTGATTTTTTGAACTAGTGGATTTAGGACCCTTGATTCATGTGGTATGGATGACTCCCTTATGTTGTGTTGTGGACTCATGTATCGTAGATGGTGCTCAATTGAAAGAAAAAGCAGTTAGTCCTCCATGTCGGAAAAATTGAAATTTTAAACATGGGGTAAGCCCAACGCGTGTGGCAACGCTCATTACACAAATAAGATTTTGGAAGAGATTTTAGTGATGTTTAGTGGGGTACTCCTACAATGTGAAGATAAGCATTCTCTAGTACAAGTAAAAATTCCAACCGTTGAACGGTTTGCCTACTCGAGGATGTGTTTTTAAGGGCACAGATAGAGCTTCCAACCCCCATGACTTCATTGAATCTCCACATGAGTCGAGGAAAAGGAGTTAAAAGAAGTACTCTGGCGAATGACAGATATACATAAATTGCTCTTGCTCAATTAATATGGGTCGACCGCGCATAAAACTGCAATTTGGAACCCAACAAAGTGTGAATGAGAAAAACAAGAGAAAAAGAAAACAAAACTATGAAGAAGGGGTTCCAACGAATGAAATGGAATGCAAGAGCACCTGTACGAAGAGGACTTTGTTGTTAAATTTGTGAGTCTCTTTATCCATGAATTGACTGTCCTAGTTCCACTGCTTCTCATGATCTTGGAGTCTAGTACTCGCATTTAGAGAGATAGGAGGCGTCTTAGAAGACCAGTTGACCTCCTAACTTGCTAAATGATCTTGGAAATCCTTTACTGACAATCGGGGTTGCATGTTGCTGTAAAGGTCTTGACAGTTGCATTGATTTGAGTCAGGTTTGCTTGCGAACAAGCAAACGGTTAAGTGTGGGAGAATTTGTTAACGCTATTTTGAACATGTCTTCCCCACCATTTCTTGATCATTTAAGCTTGTATTCTCATTATCGTGGCCCGTTTTACGCTAGGTCGTGTTGGTTTCTGTGTTTAGGGTCCTATTACGTGAACGGGGTGCGAAAGAGTGAGTTTCAGGATAATTTGGAGCGAACGGGCAGAAAGCTGGGAGGAGTTACAGACCAAAAAGGCAAAGGATCCGAATTTTCTGAGAACTAAAGGCAGAAAAAGAACCCTAGAGAGAGAGAGTGAGTGACGAAGGAAAACCTTTGGGCAAGGATTGGAGCAATCCGAAGACTTCAGAGCTTGATTCATCAACCTCAGAGTACCGATTAGCCACCAGGAGCAGATTCCCATTGTCGTTTTGTTGATGTCTTCTCTAAGCAAGACATTCTCACATCTCTCCATGGAGTAATTTTCCATTTCATCTGGGTATAAAGAACCCTAGCTGTGTATGTTAGGATAGATTGTATGAACCCCATTTGCGAATGATTGAGTTGCTAAATTCAGTTGAGGAATGAATCTGAATTGCATGAGTCTTGATCAAACCTTTTTAATTCCTGATTTAACCTAGAACGATAGTCTCTGCATAAGTTAAAAGAGAAACCTTGAATTGAAGTGGTGAATCGGCGGCTGCTTTAGTCGAGACGAAGAGGAGTGATCTTGCCCACGACGAGGTAGTCGTCGAGGGAGACATATGGCATAGCCGATTTATTTTGCCCCACTTCTCCACTTGCAAACTCTGAACTCTTTTTATTTTTATCTTTTCCGTAATTTGTGTGTGAACTAGTACTTTATGAGTTCTTATTTTGATTCATCCTACCTTGTTGTGTGTAATAACCTCATCTCGAGCGAGAATGTGCGTGTTTTTGTGTGTTGTTTTCTTTCTCCTTTGAAGCTCAAACATCCTACCTCGGGAAATTCTCCAACTTTCATTCACCAAGCCATGCGGTAACATCGTTCTACCCCCTATTTTACGCCATTGAGGACAATGTCGAGGTTAATTGCGGGGAGTAGTCTATTATTATGCTTGTGTGTGCGAGTGAACGCTTGAAGCCTTGATGTATGCCCGAATTTGAAAATTTTGAGGGCTCCAAGCAATGCATCATCAAAATGGCCGGTTGGTGGTCGAATCTCGTGCTTATTTGGCATCGATCTTGAATTGTTTCATGTAATCGAGTGCATCCTATTATGATGACTGAGAATGCATTAGGGTTCTGCAAAAGCCTCTTATGTGTGCTTAAATGAATGGATATCGCCGTGATGGAGAGACGATAGGGCTGAGTGTTGATGATTGTGCATATCTTTTACACAAAAAAGGTCCTGACCCCACTAGTAGAGAGTGAGTGATTCATTTTTGTTTTGCATGTTCATATCTTACCCCGGTGAGGACCTATGTTACCCCGGTGTCTGTTCCTTGGACTTGAGTTCTATCCATGGTTAGTTGTGGTTGGCGATTAGTCCGATCGAGACTTGCATTGATTTTTGAACAGGGTGAGAACTTTTAGTTTGCCCATTCTTGATGCAATTGAATGTCGTTTGTGGTGGTTGCCAATATTGTTGAGGCGTTTCGTGTGTTGATGCCCAATAGTCATTGAGATTCACCACTTTGTGCCTTTTGATTTTCCCCAAGTTATCTTGTTAGGTTGATAATGCAACAGGGGGGGGGGGGATTTTTATCAAAGGATGCAGCAAAACAATCAATACAAGGATTGGATTGATTAAAACAAATCTCGAACCAAAAACGGATGTTCTTGGGTGTTTGGGATAAAATGGAATCAAACGTGCATTTCTACACCTGGGGAAATGCTCGATTGATATAAGGATAGATGCCCGATCATCATTGAAGTGACTATTCAGTCGATACAAGAGCTCACAAGCTTGGAATCCACCAAACCCAACACAAGTCACAACTTGCACAAAAACCAAAAGGTTCTCAATTTGATTAACCAAAGTCTCTTTACAACGAAAATAGAAGGCTATTTATAGCCAAGAAAACCTAATACAAATCTAAATGGATAAGGAAACAAATAAGGTAAATTTCTACTCTAAAAAGGCTACAAAATTCGGACCCAAACTTCCTTTCTTGAAGCACAGTAAGTTGCCAGCAAACAGTCCAAAAGCAGCTTTCGTACCAACTTCGCACCTTTCATTCGAGGCCTTCCAGAACTCCTATCCTTCATCCAATTCCTTCCCTTGGTAGATAAACATACCTATTTTCATGTTGTGGAAGCCTCTGGACTCGAAACAGCTCCATGCTTCTCGAATTGAACTCCAAAGTAGGATTTGCAAACACGTTTCCAGACTTAAACCATTTTTGGGCAGTTTTCCTGTTTTGAGGTAGCAACTTTGAGGCCTTGCAAAACAACTTTAATGACTTCTTTTGCATCCATAAACCATGCCAACTTTAAGAGGGGGGACTTTATCTTAAAAAAAACCCCCTTAACCTCCAATTTTCAGATTGTGAAAACCACGCCTCCAAAGTAGGTATCTCGACACTGTTCCAACACTTAACCAAATTTTGCCTCTTTTCTTTCCAACCTTGATAGCTTCTTTGGGAAGTAATAAAAACGTGTAGAGTTGGCCATTTGGGATCATATCAGGCTTCCCCTCATAAAAAAGCTTTGCCCTTAAAGCTTGATCTTTCCTTTTGTCAAAATCTTCGCAGAATTGATCCCAAATTGGATCGAAAATGGGCTGCTCAATCACATTTTCCAGCAGAAAAATTGCAGCTTCAAATTCATCTTGAATTCCTTTTCTCGACGATTTCTCTAAAACCAACGCTAGTTGATCATTCCATTCGGTTCCTGGGTAGTTTTGGAATGTTTCTGCAAAAGCAACTTGCTTCGGATCATCACCAAAAGCCACAACGAGATTGTTGATTTTGGAACTTTGTTCTGCAGAATAGCGGCAGAGTTCCGCGGTGCTTGTTAGTGACAGGATTCGAGCATCTTCAGTCTGATCTAGAGCTTCTCCTTGACTTTTCGGCATTCCTTCAACCTCTAGGAGGACTTTCGAGGCAATCTCGTGCTTCGAATCTCCATTTATCTCGTCATCCATGTCTGCAGATTGCGGACTCTGTTTTGCCATAAAAAAACAGGGGCTGTTGAGCTTTTGTTGTTGTTGTTGTAGCTCCTGGACACCTTCAACAATGTCAATGGAAGACGTAGAAGCCTCCTCTGCCTGTGTTTGTCTAACAGAAGATCGATCCGAGCTAACTCTTTCGAAAGAAAAACCTTCAAAGCATAGCTATGCTCTCGAGTGTAGATTCAAGCTTTAGGGCCTGCTCCTGTTACTGCAACCTGGCGTTCGTCTGTCCAAGGCTGCCCTAGCACCATATGGACGCTTTGCAGAGGCAAAACATCATAACAAATTGAATATGTAAGCGTTACCAAGTAAGGGAGTTCTTCTTGCGGATTTTGCCACCAATAAGGAGATGGATATCTCTCTATGCTCAGCCCTATCTTGGACACGACATAAGCACTCACGAAGTTGTGCTTGATGTCCTCATCAATCATCGTCAACAACAGTTTCTCCTGAACTTTACAGCGGCAATAGATAAGGTCTTGTTTTTCCATGGCTTCCTTCGACAATCAAGCAATTGGATTGCTTGCTCTTCTTCTTCTTCCCAGTGTTGAACGAGGCTCTGATACCACTTAATGCAACCCGTTGGGGGGGGAGTGATAGACCGTTAATTACACATGTTCTTACCCCTGTTCTTACACCGTTTGAGATGTGATTTCTCGTGTTTTAGGCTGATTTCACGCTAGGTTGTGCTTGTTTGTGATATTTCAGGTCCTAGTACGTGAATGGAGGCTTGGGAGCGAGTTTGGGGTCGATTGGATGAAGATCGGGCGCGAGGCAAGTCAAAAAGGAGGCCACACGGGCACACCCACAACTCACACGGCCGTGCAAGTGACCACTTTGGCCGTGTGAGATTGTGCGAGAGCAAACACGGCTTGCCTTGATGTTCACACGGCCGTGTGAAGGAGTGGTTTGGCCGTGCGAGTTTCGCCAAGAGCAAACACGGGCAGATGGAAATCTCACACGGCCGTGCGACCCTGGCCGTGTGAGAAGCCTGAAGATCGAACTAATTGGAACGCAGCGTTTTGACTCACACGGGCAACTGGGTATGCCACACGGCCATGTGGCCCTGCCCGTGTGAGTCGGGAATTCCTGGTTTTAACCCAATTTCGGGCTGCAAGAGAGAGAATCGGACATTTTGAGCAAAAACAGAGCCCTAGAGAGAGAAAGGACGAAGAACACACCCTAGAAGCTATCTTGGAGCTGGGTTTCATCAAATCAAACTTGGAGATCGTCATAGGAGTGGAAATCATCATCCCAGAGCAGATTCTTCCCATAAGTATGAGTATGACTGCTTTGTATCTTGTTTTCCTCTCTCTCTCTATGGAGTAGAACCCCTCTCTCACTTGGGGATGAAGAACCCTAGTTCTATGTGTTAGGGATTGATTGTAATGACTTGGGATGATATTACTATTTGATTTTAATCGAATGATGCATGTTTATTGAGTCAATTGAAGTCTGATCAACTTTTCCTGATTCCTGCTGCAATCTGAGATAGATAGAATCTGATTAGGTTGCTAGAGTCTCATCATTCGATAGTAGGAGATTGGCTATACAAGAGTTAGCCAGTTTACTGCTTTATACTGGAATCCAATTCCAGTAGTGGAGTTCTGTTCTTACTGCTTCAGCTTTCTATCCCGGTGAAGACTAGTCGTCTGCCGGGTAGATAGACTGAGAGGGCTTGGTCAGCTTAAGAGATTCCAAACTACTGTCGGATCTTCCGCAGTCTAATCAACAGTAAATCAACCCAGGGAAATACAATTGAAACCTAACTAAGGAGCTAGGGGGACTCATTCCCGAGTGACTCTTACCTGCTTGAGAAAATCGTATCAATTCCTGCTTTCTTTCTGCTTTTGTTTTTAAACAACAATCACTTACTTTAGTTGGCTAGATAATAGAGAATCAGGGAGTAAGCAGTAGATCTAGACCCCGGGTTGATAATATAAATTGCCTGTTACTGCATTCCCGGTCTGCGATTACACTTGGTCGCAGATTGGTGTTGTGTTTTGGCGTGTCAAGTTTTTGGCGCCGTTGCCGAGGACCCTCTAGGTTATTGGGGAAACGTGAGAATTTGTTACTCTAGCTTTTTATTTACTGCATTTTATCTCTTCCACCTGTGTTCCTTCACGGGTTGCTTCTGATGATTGTGTGCAGGTAGTGCATGACCCGTAGCCAGTCGGGAGATCTACTACCACTAGACCAGGAGCATGAACGAACCTGCAGAAACTTCAAGCGGGCTCTAAAGGCGCGACTGGCTGCGGAGGAGGTGCTATCACAGCTGGAGTTAGAAGAAGAGGAAGAAGAGATGGCTGATCCAGGGAACCATGATGTGATCCCTGAGGAGCAAACCATGGGATCCTGCTGGACCGCTAGAGCTGCGGACATGAGGTCACCCATTCAACATCCTCATGTCCCAGCCAACAATTTTGAGGTGAGCACCTCAGTAATCACCATGCTGCGCGGTTCAGTGGTGTTCCGTGGTAAGGAGGGGGAGTGCCCCTGATCACATCTCAGGCGATTCCACGAGCTCATTGATGGAATCAAGATCAATGGGGTACCAGCAGATGCCATCCAGCTGAGGTACTTCCCATTCACCCTGGAGGGGCAGGCAAAGGAGTGGCTAGATACTGGACCTCCAGGTTCTATCACCACGTTCGCCAACCTGGCGGACAAGTTCCTCACCCGCTATCATCCTCCATCCAAGACAGCTGACCTGCAGAAGCAAATTACCCATTTTGCTCAGGACGAGGATGAGACCATCAGGGATGCTTGGGAGAGATACACCAGTCTTTTCCTCAGGTGTCCCAATCATGGTCTCAATGATGCGTTCAAGGTGGGCACCTTCTATCACGCCCTCTTCCCGGAGGACAAGCAGCTGATTGATTCGGTTTGTGGCGGGAACATGCTGACCAAAACACCGCCACAGCTGAATCAACTCTTTGAGGAGATGGCGGAGAACGGGTACGATTGGGGCACTGCCAGGAGATCGAGACGAGCACCAGGCCGAGGTGTGCATGCTGTGGGCACCCAGTCATCTGATCTGGTGCAGGTGGTATCAAAGCTGGTTTCAGCTATCGATCGTTCTGGTTTGATTGCAGGTACAAGACAGCCGCAGGCGATGCACTGCCAGTGGTGTGAGAGCTCCCATCACACCGTAGAGGACTGCCAGGCGATGAGGGAATCGTCTACTCCCAAGGAGCAGGTGGACTTTATCAGTAATGCCAGGCGCTTTGACCCCTACAGCAACACTTATAACGAGGGGTGGCGCCAGCATCCTAACTTTTCCTGGGCTGGGGCAAATCCCAAACCACCAGCTCCCCAGGGACCACCTGGCTTCCAGAGGCCTCCGTACCATCCCAGACAGGGGCAATTTCAGCAGCCACAGCAGCCACTCTACCAGCCCAGACAGGGGCCAGTTCCACCACAGTCATAGGTGCGACCATTTCAGCAGACAGGAGCAGCACCTGCAGCTCCAGTACAGAGTGACCTGATGGCGGAATTGAGAGATTTGGTGGGTTCTCTGGCCACCTCCAGTGCGAACAAGTTCAATAACATCGAGCAATTCATGGAGAAAGCTTCAGGCAAATTCTTGGAGCTAGAAGCTGGTCAGAGAAATACACAGGCTGTGCTGCGGGATATACAGACCCAGCTTGGGAGTGTTGCCCAGGCTGTAGCTCAGAGGACCCCTAGTACCTTGCCTGGTCAGACCATTCCTCACCCGCAGGATCCGAATGCCAACTGCAGGCCATCACAACCAGGAGTGGCAAGGTGACTACCGATCCACCTGTTCGGGCAGAGGAGAGAGAGACCCCTGCTTCAGCATTTCCAGCTAATCAGGAAAAAATGGAGAAGGAGGTTGAGGTGCCTGCTCCTAAACCGCAACCAGCGGTGAAGGAGTATGTACCACAGCTTCCCTTTCCTACTCGGTTGCACAAGGACCGACTGGAGACTGAGTTTGCCAAATTCATGGCAATGCTGAAGCAGGTAAACATTAACATGCCCTTCGTGGAGGCATTATCGAAGATGCCCAAGTATGCCAAATTCATGAAGGATCTCCTCACCAACAAGAGGAAGCTTGGGGAGCTGTCAATGGTGATGCTCAACGAGGAGTGTTCTGCCATTCAGCAGAATAAACTACCAGAGAAGCGAAATGACCCAGGGAGTTTCACTATCCCTTGCATGATTGGTAGTTTGCATGTAGGGAAGTCCTTGGCGGATTTAGGCGCTAGCATAAATGTCATGCCTTATAAACTGTTTAAAAAGCTAGGCTTAGGTGAACCCAGTGATACTAGGATGAGCATCCAGCTTGCTGATAGATCCATTGTGCATCCTAGGGGTATAGCAGAGGACTTGATAGTCGCAGTAGGGCCATTTTCATATCCTGTTGATTTTGTGATTTTGGACATAAATGAGCATGTTGATGTGCCATTGATACTGGATAGACCTTTTCTCGCCACCGCCAAGGCGCTTATTGATGTTAATGATGGAAAATGGATTTTTAGAGCTGGGGGTGAACAAATCACCTTCTCTGTTTCTGATAATATGAAACACCCCCAGCTCCATGATGATCTAGATTATTGTGATGTTGTTGCTGATTTTGAGACCGCACTCGCCATCACGAGTGCGGGTACTGATGATTTCCTTGAGCGTTGTCTTTTGCTAGGGGAACAGACATCACAGGACATGGAGCTGGAGGAGCAGCTAGCGGAGCTAGACGAGGCCATGATCGAGGGGCGAGAGATACCATTCAAGCCGATCACTGTCTCGCCCCGGATCGCTACATCATTGGAGGAGCCACCAGAGCTGGAGCTTAAGCCCCTCCCCTCTCACCTGGAGTATGCATTTCTCCGGGAGGGTAATAAGCTCCCGGTCATTATTAGCTCGGATCTGACACCCGAGCAGAAGAGCAGGCTGGTGGCTTTGCTGAAGAAGTATGTCCGGGCCATGGCATGGAAGATCACAGACATCAGAGGCATTAGCCCATCCTTCTGCTCCCACAGAATTCTGATGGAGGATGAGGTTAAGCCAGTCAGGCAGCCGCAGAGGAGATTGTCTCCTAACTTGGAGGCAGTGGTCCGGGCAGAGATTGTGAAGCTCATGGATGCAGGGATCATCTTTGCTATATCTGATAGCAAGTGGGTCAGCCCCACTCAGTTGGTCCCGAAGAAAGGCGGGATGACTGTGGTCCCGAATAAGAAGAAGGACTTGATCCCGATGCGGACCGTGACCGGCTGGAGAGCCTGCATCGATTACCGGCGCCTGAATGACGCCACCAGGAAAGATCATTTTCCCCTACCTTTCATTGATCAGATGCTGAAGAGGTTGGTTGGCCATGAGTTCTATTGCTTCCTGGATGGCATGTCTGGTTACTTCCAGATTCCTATTGCTCCGGAGGATCAGGCAAAGACAACATTCACTTGCCCCTTCGATACCTTTGCTTACCGGAGGATTCCATTTGGGCTGTGTAATGCATCGGCGACCTTCCAGAGATGCA